GGAACTGCCAGTAGTGATTGGCACAAGCAAATTATTTTGGGGTTTTCTCCCCTCATTTTAGTTTGTCTAAATTGAAGATTATCAAGAGCTGAAGTTCAAAGTGAATCTGATCTATTTATCAGTATAGTCTGTAGAGCAGGGATACCAAGGGCTTCAGAAAAAAGACACAATGTCAGCAAACTGATCGTATTTAACCAGTAGGCCCTTATTTTTATGATTAGATTCCACATTTCCTTTGCAAAAAGAGGGACAATCCAAGAAAACCCAAAAAACCATAGAGCACTTCTGCTATATTCCTTTCCAAAGTACTTAGTCCTTAGCAATGATATTTGAAATATTTCGAATATTCGGGTTAACCAAGATTCAAGAATCTAGAAGATTTCAAGATGTTACTGTTAAAATCCTTGAGGTCATAAAAGTCTGATTGCTTATGAGTTTGTTGCAAAACTTAGGAGATGCAGCAGAATTTCTATTAATTGTGAATATAAGTCCTAAATGGGACAAAAGACTTCTTTTAATCCTACTCTTCACAGTTGGTTTTAGAATTTTTAAATGAAAAAAGGAATAAAAATAGGCAAAATAATATGTTTGTGAGGCACAGTTCTTTAGAAGAAGCTAAGTTTGTTAAGCAGATCTAGGGCATATTGATATTTGATATCAATTGATATTGATATTGTATATCAATCATATTGATATACAGGAATTTATTATGTGGTTGAAGGCAAAAAGAGGAAACTTATTTAAAATGAGCCTTTCCTATTGGTACTTGAATCATTTAAGCAGCTAGAATCTGTGGGAGGAAAATATTTAGTAAATCACAAGTGGCAAAACCAATCAACACAATTTTACTATAAAAAAGCTATATCCTGTGACCTTTGAGACCCACATTGATTCTGAATGCAGAAGAATTATGTGATTAGGAGTATTTTCTGAAAATTTAAACCACTCTATCCTGTGTATTCTATTCTGAAAAACAGCCTGGAATCAAATCTGGACTCAAAAGGAAAAAAAGACAGAATCTATATTAGCTACGTGAAAAGGTTGTTTGAATGTTTGTATCATTCAACTATAGAAAGAAATTGCATTGAGGTCACAAAAGGATTGTTAAAATTTATGTGTATGAAGATGGATGAGAAACACCTTTAATCACATCATGCCTCAGCTGTCAGAGGTTCAATAAGCTTTCTTCATGCCAAACTTACGTTACTTCGTGTTGCAAACCATGATATTTCCTTTTTGAGCTCTCATATCAAATGTTGTGTTTATTTTTTAAAGCACAACTCCAAGTCAGTATTAATTTAATAATTGTGTGGTTCTATTGGTTATATTTAATGGCTGTTCTAAGTACTTAACAATGAAAAGGTTGTTCTTTAGCTCACTGTTGGAATTGGGTATATGAGTGAACACATTCTCATGCACATGTTTTTAAAAATCATTCCTACTTATGTCTGAAATAAAATCTAAAAACAAACCAAAAAATAATAGATCAGATACTAATGTTGCAATATAAACCTACTTGAATTTTCTAATGCCCTTCAATTTTTCATCGCTTTTAAAGGTATGATTTTTATATGTATTTTAATCTCGCTGAATATATCTGCATAATAATAACATAATAAAATTAAATTAAACCTGATTTTAAAAAAAAAGTTTTTAAAGATGTGGTGGGGAATAGTTGTCCTTTCTGGCTTTCTTGAAGGTCTAGAGCTATAAGAAACCCATTTTTCATCATCATGTCTTTTTTGTTTGTCCCACTTCCTTTTTTTACCTCAGTCTTGTTGGCCTGTTCTTGTCAGACACCCTATTTATGAGGAGTTTCAATTCACCACTTTTTTTTCTTTTCTACAGTCAGCCTTTCACATAGAGGAAGAAGCAGTCCATGCCAGCCCCTGGCTGACTCTAGTGCTCCTCTGAACTGTCTTCATTCTGAAAAAGATCTTATTTCCAGCAGCAAAAGGTTACTTATGTGCATGCTGATATGGAGGAAGACAGTGGAGCTTCTTGTTGCTTGCAAATAGTGTTAGAAAATTTCTTTGGGGCTATAGAAAACGTGCCTGCCCGTCAACGTTTTGTTATCAATGCACTTATGTAACCAGTCCGAGCTCAAAAATGTAATCTATAAAGTGGGGAATAACCCCCATTTCTATCAAAACTGTGTCTCTCACTATCACATGCAATATAGGTGCAGTAGCAACCTCTTTCTAAGTCTTCAAGTTTGAGTTGAGAGAGAAATTAAGGTCTTTAAGTGCCATTGAAATGCCTTCTGAGAATTTTCAGGACCTAGTACTCTTTCCCTGTACACACAAAAAAAAAAAAAAAAAAAAAATTAGGCACACTGCAACTAACCAAAAAAAAATCCTAAAGGAGATGCTGCATTTTTTATGATTGCATTTATGAGATTGATCTGCTTTGGTGGGCATGGATGAGTGTGTTGAGAAAAGGCCTAAGCTGAATGTCTTGCTAACTGATCTTAAAAAAAAATTGGTTTTGTAGTGAGCTTGACTTAATTTTTTTTCTGTTCTCTACAAACTAATGGGTCTGCTTCCCTGTCCCATAAGCTGCCCCTAGGCTTGAATGGCAGAATTTGCAGGAAAACAAACTGTGATTTCAGTTTCTTATTAATAAACATATCAAATATCATTGTTTTTGTTAATGTTACTGTCTCTTTAGCTTTAGGTAGAGTTTTTTATTTTTCTTTTTTCTTTTTTCTTTCTTTTTTTTTTTTTTTTTTGTTGTTGTTTATATTAACTCAGCTCTTCTTTATCAGTTTTTTCTTGGTTCCTGGATTGAACATGGTTCAAATTTTCTGGGTAGGAATATTATTCATAGAAATATAGAATTGACTTCTGGTGGTCTTGATATGAATTATGAGAGCTGGGAATGTACTTAAATGTAACTCCATTTCTGTGAGTGACTCCAAGTCACCACAGTACATTGTTAAATATGACTTGGCAGATGACTCAGAGAGTATTTTCAATTTTATCTTTTCCTTTTCGTTTATCTGAGTATCCAAGTGTATATGGCAGGCATCTGAGGTGCAACAGAGAAAGTGGAGCAATAATGTGTGTCAGATGGTGCTTAATTAGATATCTCTGCGATGGGGAATAGGAGTTTCCCACAATTAATATATAATATGGAAGGTGAAAAGTCATCTGACTTTTCAGGAAGGTAGTAAGCAATTGGGCCAGTAAAGTTGCTCTTAAATGCTTTTGCTTCTTTTTTACCGTGTACCCCAAATGAGCAGCAAGGCTCCTAAATGTCCATCACTATAATTGGAGATACTAACCCAAATGCAAATTGCTGCTTTCCTTACAGCTGAGCTTACAGTAATATAGATGATGATTTTTACAAATATTCCTTAAGATTAGGCCATATGAATCCTTGTGGGACTCTATCTGGCGTGTAGCTCTAGTGCTTCTCACGTGCAGCAGAAGGTCAGTAGTCCCAAGGTGCTGCTGGAGAGCCCAGCTGTGGTCAGCAGGTCCCTCACACTCACTGGCAGCATTTCTGAGCGACAGCTATGCAGTGAGGATGATCAAACACATGAGATTCACCAGTCACATTCCCTGCAGTATGACAGTGTCTGCCCTTGACTGGCTGGACTTCCATGATTTAGTTTTTAATTATGCTTTTTATCGTTGGTGTCTCTTTATATTGAAAAAAGATTACAGCATCTGTTTCAGAAAGTCAAATAAATGTGAAGCCCCATTAGGATATTTATATGTGTGTCTTTAAAGGCAATGCTGCAAATTGTGCAGAGCAGTTGCTGACTTTGACCACCATTTATTTATTCAAAACACATACTGGAGCACAACTGATTTACTGAACTTCTGCTTATGGTAGCATTACTTCACTAAGTTGTGGGTTTAATCCTTTTTCTACAATTTTATAGTGTTGCATGTAAAGAAAGGACTTCTCTTATGCCTGTCTGAAGAGTTTTTGAAAAAATAATACTTGAGGCAAAAATTAGAATTAATCAGAAAATTACTCTAGCTGAAGAAGATGAAAAAGCAGAATGATGGCACTTGTTCACTGTCTTTCCCAGCACCATCAAACTGAGCTGCTCCTTTCTACTAGAGGTTCCATCTGACCTGTGCAATTTTCCAGTAGCTAGGGAATTTGGACAGAGGCTTTGTGTGAATCTTGTGCCTCTCTGTGCTGTGCAAGTAATAGGAGCTTTCCACCAAAGCACACTTTAATGGATGAGTCTGTTATCCATCAACATGGAACAGTGGAACTGTAATTGCTGGAATTTACATTTTGGCCAATTTCTGCTTTTATTTAAATTAGTTTTTAAGCATTTGTTTTATTCTGGCAACAGGCCCAAGTCTTCGGTAACTGAAGTTTTCCCGTGTCCTTAATTAACAGTTCTTCCTCTTTTCAAATTTTACTTCTCTTTTTTTCTGTTTATCTTTCCTTTCTTAGGTGTTTGGATTTTTTTTTTAAACTAATTCCATTAGATACTTTGGCTTCGATTTCTTATATTTTCTTCCTTTCCCTTTTTTCCTGTTTACTGGTTTTCTAGTCCTAACACATGTCTTTTACCAGTGCAAGAAGGTTTTTCAAATTTCTACTGTGTGTTTACGTGACTGACATATTGAGCCATGTCCATATGCAGTGAGATCCAGAGTCTGATCAGAATGTTTTAACTCATGGCACTGAGTTCACGCAAGGTCTCACATTGCAGACAAATTGCACATGCCTTCTAACCAATTTGGATAAACAAATACTCTGAGGAGAATCTGAGAATCTTTTTTTTTCTTTTGTAGACTTTAATTTCTTTGACCTTCCAGAACCTCAGGCAATTGGATGTACAACTATTCTCCACTCTACTAAAGATAAATCTCTCTCTTTTCAAATATATATATATATATGTACACATGTGTGCACTTATTTATCTATAGCTAAATAAGGTCATAAAAAACCCAAAAAATCTAGGATGTTTTAACTATTTCATTGACTTTACAGATTGTTTTTAAGCTGTTTTTTAAACTTTAAAGGCAACACTGATAGTGAACGGTTCCAAATGGTAAAACAGAAAATCCCCTTCAAATATAACCGGCCTGTAGAGGAGTGGCTGCAGGAAAAAGGTAACAGTCATTAAAACTTTCATTTTAAACCCATTTGGTTCTAAACTCTCATTTTTAAAGCCTGCAAATAAATGTTTCTTAAATGATAATCGCCTGCTGCATAAATGAGTGTTTTAATTTTCATTATAATTTGTGTCAGCTTCCACCTGCCATATGTTGATAAATCATGCTATAATACATTGCTATTAAAATGCAGTTAAAGGGACGAAATTCTAAGCTTGCTGTAATAGCAATGACAAACAAGCAAAAATTCAGGAGATGATTTCTAAAAAAAAAAAAAGCCAAATGAAGAAGAGTGAAGAGCAACAACATGTATTATGGCAATTTAACCACTGCATGATTTTCCTATTTTAATTTGGGCTTGAGCTACATTTATATCTTTTTTATTGAAGTTTTCTTAAAAGATTTTCAAATCTACTTGTAAACCACTTCCTTTAAGTTGATTTTTCTCATGAGTCTGATTAGCCACTATGGCTGTTTATTTCCTAATTGTATTAATATAATTAAATGATTTTTAAAAATGTTGTAAAGAAAACATTTTTTAACATTTTCATTTAAATTACAGGGAGGGAGACAGAGAAAATTATTGTTCTGTTGCTTTTATGCTATGTCTAGAGTACAGGTTGAACAGTCAAATGATATTTGTCTAAAATACGTCTCAAATTCTTAGTCTAAGGCAGTGCCACTTAAGTTTGTGGGTTTGCCTGGAGTAATTGGCCTCAGTTCAACAAAAAAACTTGTTAACATGAATAAGTCCAGATGGCTTGAGTGAAAGTTCTGCATACAGTCCATGACCTTTTGAAATGGGACTTGTGTCAGAACAGTAATTTTTTTTTTCTTGCAAGGAATTTGGAGATGTAAAAATAAACTATCTTGGATGTAGAACCCATTTTAAAGCCTGTTGAAGGTAACAGAATAACTTGCTGATTTCAGTAGAGCATGAACTAGGCTCTTGGTAATACAGTGGAGTTAAAGTCAGGAAGATTTTCTCCCTCTATTAGTAAATGTGGTATTCAAAACCAAAACCCCTGTAACTGACTCCTTGCCTTGACATCTAGACAAAGCAGAACACAATCTTCTCTTGCTTCCATTTATGAAAGTACAGCTAGTAAAAGAGGGTGACCTTTGAACTCAGGTTTTGCATTTTCTGTGCTGATTTAGACTATGGTTATTAACACATTTTCCAGGAAGGAAAACCAATCTCTTGTCAGACTGGAAAAATATAATTTATGTTCTGTTTCAAATTTCTAACCTCAGCTGAATTAACAAATTGATTTATCCAGTTTGAATTAAGGTCAGGAAGGATGTGGCTAAATCCAGTCAAAATATTTTCATGTGAAGGGCCTGATCCTTCAAAGTGTTGTGCGCACTCAGTTCCTATTAACTCCTATTAATGAGAGCTGGCAGTGTTGCTCACTTTTCAGGTTTGGTCTACAAAGGTGTAATGTTTAAAACTAAAGCTAAGGTATTAATGAAAAAAGGCAAAAATATTTTTGTAACCAAAACAGAATTGGTTTTTTATCACCAGTACGTCATACACAGTTAATTCAGCTAAATTGTGAATAAATTTAAATAAACAGAAAATGCTATTGAGTCTCAGTGGGTTGCCCTATTAATTTACAAGATTAAACTAAAATAGATAAATAAAGTTTAACACTAAAAAGAAAATAATTTTGGTAAGTCTGAATTGCTAAAGTCCCTTTAACACTAAAGACAATGATTGCCTCAATTTTGTTAAAACAGATGCATGTCTAATTCCTTGATGCAATTCATGTGCTTGAGAAACCCATCTCTTTTTTTTTTTTTTTTCTTTTGGTTTGGTTGTGGGTTTATTGGTTTTTTGGTTTTTTTTCATTTTTGGTTTTCCACAAAATCTTTTACTTTATGTCACAGCTTCTACAAGTTTGAGCTTAAGAGCATGCCAAGACACTTTCATTTGTAATCCATCCTGAAGTTTTGAACTGAAGTCTATCTTTTGTGGATATTGATGCTTTGTTAAAAGACAATCACACATGCACTAGAGTCTAAAAGAGACAATATTTGAGTCTTCAGGCACTCTCAAAGCACTGGATGTGGTCAGGCTAGAAGGATAGGGCTATGTTTTTGCTAAAGTGAAGGGAAATTCAGTCTTTTCATTATGTGTCAGGGAATGAAATTGCGCAGGGTAGCATCTGAGACAATGTAACTTGGTTGTTTCATTCCAAAATAGACATTTTCAGCAATACAGGTACCACTCAAATTAAAAAAATATAAGAATGAGTAATTTATATAGCTGTTCACCAGCCTGCTCATCCATCTGGTCATCCATCTAACAATTAATGTAACATGGAAACCTTCTGTCAGAAGATTTTACAAAGATGGTGAGTGAAAGGGTAGCTTCAAAATGGAGCAACACAAACTGATGGATGGAGGAATAGATTCATCAGAGAGTCAGCATGTATAGAATAGCTGTCTTGCCCATGTCAGTTCTTGGCTTGGGTGAGGTAAGACGAAACACTTTTTGATTGACATTTTTCAATGCTGTAGATTTGGTCTTCTTTTGGTACTGCTGTGTTATTCATGATAATGAAATAGTTCATTCTTGGAAAACAAATATAACACATTATCTTTCTGAAGTGGCATCACTATTGGCTTTTGAAGGGCTTTTAAATTCTATTAATTAGTTTAAAATAATTTTAAGAGCCCAGGTTTACAGTCTGGAATTGCATGAGTAATAAGCAAAATATTAAATGCTATTAACTTCATTGAGATTATGTATGTGAATATAAAAAGAAGTGTTAGTCTTAAATTGTTCAACTTCAGTAGTCATAAATCCAGCAGATTTCCTTAGCGGAATACTTGGTGTCTGCTAAAGCACAGATGCTACCTGTTCTGCAATTGAATGAGCTAATAAAGACCCAGAAGCATCTCATCAAAAGGATTGATCCCAGAAGTACTTAATTATTCAAATCTCTCTTACCTGTAAAGTCTCCTTGATGTAAGTGGCTGTACTTTTGAAGCAAGTACTATTAGTATGAATTAGGATTTGCAAAATCAGGCCCAAAATCTCTTCTAGTGCTATGACAAAGTTGCACTTCAGATTTCTCTGTGGTATTTTTAATTAGAATTCCATTTTCCAAATGAAGAAGACAATGAGAGAGCAAAGAAACAAGAGCCTGAACATTCAGAATGCTTACAAAACACCTCATTATTTTTCTTTAGTATGACACTAATATAGCAGTAGGAAGAGTTCTCTGTGGAAAAAAAAGGACTGCAGAATTGAATTACAAACCTAGTAGAATTTACTAATATAAATAGTTCATCAATAAAATCCAGTGGCCAAATAAATTTTACTTGGGGGAAGTAAAAGGCTTCATCTAAATTTCATTCAAAGAATGATCAGAAGAGACACATGGTGGCAAAATTCATATTCTCTCCAAAGATTTTTCTCATTCCATGTTCATTTCCCTGATGTCTTTACCATGCACATGCACACCATCTTAGAGCAAAGAAGGAAGATTTTCAAGTAGTAGGTGACTGCAACAAGTGATTGTTCTTTTAGCAAACACATTTTTAGTGTGGTTTCCAGCATTAACCATATGGTGCGATGCATGAATCCTGATCTGGAAAACCATTTAACAGTGAAGACTCCAAAATACAAAATCAAATTTCTTTTTTTTTTTTTTTATTTTTGCTGGAAAAAGGTCACCTCCTTGATGTACACTTTCTTTTAACATTAGAAGATGTAGATGAAGGCCCAGAATTGGAGACATGGTCTCTTTTTTTCAGGCTTAATATACTTAGTCTACCTTCTTGCAAATAATGCAAGAAATATGACAGACGTGAAGCTATGCTATGAGCTTAGGTTAGAATAGTTGATATCCTGAGCTGAGTCATAATCCTCCAGTAAAAGTGAGAGAACCCCGCTCCTATTCTTGTCTGGGGAGCTCTCCTACCTGGAGAAGCAAAAAATTTTCCTTTATCACCTTCCACCTTCTTCCCTTTGGCAAAAGATAAAAAAGATAGTAAATTAATTCAAGGGAAGAAAGAAATGGAAAAGCAAATGGAAAACTGAACTGACCATTATCTTCCATCTGTTTTTAGGGATAACATCTCAAGATTAGTGAAATAAGTCCCTTTACTCCTAAGTCCCTTCTTTACTCATCTTTACCTCTATCATGTGTGAGATGGGAAGAAGGGAACAGCTGCAAGTGACATGTCTGAGTTTTTGGGGGCAGGGACAATATGGACAGGACTATAGTGCTGGAGGGAGGGAACATATTTAGAGAAATGATGTAGTAAACTTCTTACTACATATCCCTTATAAAATCCAAAGCACAACATGACAGAAAAGAAAAGCAAGGTCTGAGGAGATGGTATGGGACAGGAGTTTGACCTTCTACAGTGTACAGTGCCATTTCCTCTAATTCAGACAGGAGCTGGGCTGAGAGAGATTAATATCTTAACAGATGTTGTTACTGGGCCCTATTTTTGTCATAGACAAGAGTAAAGGCTCTGTTTGCATTCTGAGGATGTGTGGCTTCAGTGCATGTTTATTGATGTTTAACAGACACATGTTGCCTCTGGCAAGTTTAAAACCTCCTGAGATGCAGAACATCGCATCAGGTGTTTCAACACTTTCCAGGGGAAGGATATACCCCATTTTTATTTCTCATTTCTAATCAATGCACTTACTCCACCCTGTCCAACTCCTGATTTTCCATTTACAAATCTGAGAGTGAGGAGCACAGGGGATGTGCAGCCAACCTCCACATGTCTGTGTGTTACACCTCTCCATATACTGTTGCTTAGTTAGCTAGGGCCCTCTTCGGGGACAGGAACTACTTTCAGATACATTTCTTCTCTTGTCCCCATTCTCTTCCCCATGGTCCATCCTGTCACCATAAGATGATGCTACACCGCATCACCACTTGGCTTCGAGACCTGCCACGACGACCAAAATTGGTGAGCTCCCCCATGTATTTTGATCTACTCTAACCACTGGCTGTGAAGGAATGAGCAGTGGATATAGGTTCTGCTTTCCTACGTGGTGGCATTCTGCACTGCTCATCAGCCTGGACTAGGCAGAAAGTGGCAAGTGAAAACTGGGTAGTGGGATTGGGATTGGAAAATATATTTCAAACTTCATAAAAATGGAAAAGCGCAAGATATTTAAATGATGATTGACTTGAAGCTGCATTGATAACCCTTCTGAGCAATGTCCAGTCTGGTTGTCTGCTAATTCAGCAGATTTCAGGTGGCATGCTCCTAATCTTTTGAGGAATAGTGAAATTATAGGCACTGCCTTTGCACTTCATGAAGCAATTTATTTCTTAACATGGTAAACCTGGTGCAGCCTGGGACACAAACAGTATTTATAGAGCAGTCCAGGCTGAATGTCATGTAAGTGTCCTGCAGAACTAGGTGAATTGGCAATTGTTACTAGATTTATTTTTAATAATTGGGTTTTTTATTACATATGGTATTGGACCTCTTGTAACACCCAAGATGTGACCTCAACTAAACCACATAACCCTGCCTACATTTGAATTTCACTGTCTGTAGAGTGGAGTAAGCCATTCTGGGGCTTAACCATCTGAAGCACTGTTATCCTCACTATTTCAAAAGCTTTGCTTTTTCAGAGACATCAGAAATGTTTGTGTGTGTTCTTTCTTGGGTTTAGATTTTCAAGCCTTCATAACACAAAGTTTGCAGGTGAAAGATTATGACTGATCCTATCATAACACTCCTACTTAATTCTTACATTGCTTCCTTTTTACCTGATGTTTTACTGGTTTTAAGCCAACCCTTGAAACCTTGGCATTGTTAAAAGTGGCTTTATGAGTTAATCTACTGCTTTAACCAAAAAGTCCAAAAGGACGTTTATTTATGGGCTAAAGCTTGACAGGTATTGCAGTTTGAATTGATAGTACAAAAATAGCCACATGTTGAAGTCCTATTTGTAGTTTAAAATCCATCCAATCCTAAAAGAACAGGTTCAGATTTCTCAAGATCCTCCAGAGTTTTTATGTGTGAGCGGATGTTTAGGTATAAGGTTCAGTTTTCGGTATTCATACTTCCAGGCTAATCATCCTTATTAATGACTTTTAGGCACCACACTTCCATACTGTTTCTCTACAGTCATCATATACACTCCCAAGAATGAATCTACTTCTCCTTTGTCCATCACTTCGGGCCAGGGCTCAATGTAGTATGCAAACTGGAGGAAATGTCTGTCAATAATGTTATTCACCCCCCCTTCACTAGGACGACAGTTAACGATCTTCAACACCCAGGCGCAAATAGCCATAGGAGGGAAGGACAGAGGGCGTCTCTTCCAAGGCCAGCTCTCCGGGCTCTATTACAATGGCCTGAAAGTGCTCAACATGGCGGCAGAGAACAACCCCAACATTAAAATCAATGGAAGCGTCCGACTCGTTGGGGAAGTCCCTTCCATCTTGGGAACAACACCCACAACATCGGTGCCACCGGAGATGTCGACGACAGTCATGGAAACCACAACCACGATGGCGACCACTACCACCCGGAAAAATCGCTCCCCGCCCAGCATCCAGGTGAGTCTCTTAGTCCTCTCCATTTCCTTCAGATCTTAATTCGTCTTGCTGCTCATTTGTAAGTTCATGGGAGCTATCTTCTCTGAAAAATGCTCCGTGAAACTCTTTGTTTTAAAAATGTCCTCCTGTATTGGACACAGGACAAACAGCTGGCTGAATTGTTGTGGCACATACCTGTAAGAGTGGGAATGGATTTTGCTCCTGATCTCGTGCAATCCAATTTGTGTGAGATTGTTACAATGTGAACAAGGTTTTAACTATGTTTCAAAAGTTCCATATGTGGGGAAATGTATTCTGAAGAGAATTACGCAGTTTAATGGGAGGTGGGTGTATGGTTATTTATTATTATGACAGGATGAACTGCTGCAATAGTGAAGTTCATAATGAGGAGAAAAGCAATGGAGCATTACTTCCATTTGAAGTCATTTTTTATTTCCCTTTTATAGCCTTCCTGCAGAGAATTTTGAAGGAATGCTATCAAGATCAGTTTCTTGCAAAATGTAGATGTTCCAACATAGAGTATTCCCATCTATTTGGTAAAAATTATTCCTAACTAAAAAATTAATTTCAGATTATCTGACTTAATTGTGCCAAAGTAGTTATTTCAACCCTTAAAATGCAGTGGTTTTGGAACCACTTTTGTGGCAGCCGGAATATGGTACTGATTAGAAATAAACACCTTAATTGGCTGTCCTTGTCTGTGCAAAGAATCATGTGACTAACCAATCTGAGCTGTGGATTATTTATTTCAGCAGTATGCTATCATGTTATTGTGTTACCAACTAGAATGAAATGTGTTTTGAAATCATTAGAGAGATGGAGCTGCCGGAGTCTCTAGCTAAGGGTCTCTAAAATGAGTAAGGGACTGGAGCATTTCTTGTATGAGGAAAGGCTGAGAGCTGGGACTGCTCATCCTGGAAAAGAGAAGGCTCATGGTGGGGGATCTTAACTGTGTGTACAAATACCTGAAGGAAGAGTGTAAAGATGGCAGTGGTGCCCAGTGACAGGACCAGAGACAATGGGCACAAACTGAAACACAGGTCTTTCCCTCTAATCACTGGGAAACATTTGTAACTTGAGGGTGACTGAGCATGGGTGCAGGTTGCCCCAAAAGGTTGTGGAGAGTCCATGCTGTTAAAATTCAAAAGCCATCTGCACATAGTCCTGGACAGCTGACTCTGCTTGATCCTACTTGACCAGAGGTTTGGACTAGGTGACTTCCAGAGGTCCCTTCCAACCACAGCAATTCTGTGAGGTATGTCTGGCTCCAGTGGAATTTACAGCTATTAGAGTAATTAATTCCAGGATGAGGTTTAACAGTGCCTGCTTTGGTACTCTGTAAATCCAGGTGGCAACATGACTGGGATTAATTGAATTATTAGCCTCACACACCCAGTAGGTGATTTTATAAAATTATAGCTAAATGAGGGGAAATTACCCTATGTTTGGTCACTGTTTGTCATAAACTTTTTGAGAATTTCCTTCTCTGCAGTAACTAGTTCTAATTTTAGAGAAAATATTTGTACAGTTACATCTCCAGAGTGATAAAGTCTGTGGTTCTTATCCTGCCCTCTATAATTTTTAAAGGCAGCAGAACTGTGTTTAGCTATACCAGTGGACAGAAAATGGCACTGGACCTTTATGGGCTGGGTCAAGCTGGAAATGATGCTGGCTTGCCTGAAAAGGAACTCTTTCTGAAAGCTTCCTGCCTAGCCTACGTAGCAGTTCACTCAGCCTACAGAGACCACTGTGTGCTGAAAGAGCATCAAGAAGATTTAATAAAGTGTCAAAGTGCTTCTAAAAACATGGTTAGAGCAGCGATTTCCTGGATACACATGCACCACAACAAATGGCCTCATCTCAGCTGATATTAAAGCAATAACTCTTTGACACTTCATGCTACCCACTGAAAGAAAAATAAAGGTCAATATGTACCTCCATTACAACTTTCTGCATTTCAATATTGGGCCATTTTATCGCTATTGCAGCAGAGATAGCTTGGCTTTCTTCCTTATTTTTGGTGGAATTTGATTCTGTCTGCTTAAGTTGCAGTATCTGTGTGGTGAAAGTGAGAAGAAATTGTCTTTTCCTCTTTGGGCAGTGTCTCCAGCCATGGTTTTTCAGATGCCTAATGGTTATTTTATCTTGCTTGTGTTCAACATCACCATCATCAAGCCTGCTTACAATTTTAGATCTAAGTGGTGGAAAAATCTAATAGAGCAAGTTTACTCTTTGGGAAGCATAAAATATAGATACCTAAGGCTATGAGAGATACAAATACAGTTAGTTATACCTTGTTCCAGATTTTTCTTTTCTGCTCAGATATGAACAGTTATTCTTTGCTTTCAAGGCTGTTTAAAGTTTAGCCTCTTCTGATTCCGATCAGCACGATTCAGGCACTTTTTGTTCACTTCTTAGATTTGATCATAGGAATCTTTCTGCTCCCTGATACCATACAAAAGGCAATAGCAGGTTATTTTTCCAATCCCATTGAAACTTTTTTGTCATCATGATGCATGCCAAAAAGTAGTCAAAAAGTTAGGCTGATGATGGTCTAAGATGACTGTTTATCAAGTCAATCAATGTTGTCACATTTTTTTGTTTTATTATCCATGTTTCTGTATCCATGTGTAGTATCTACTTTTATGCTAAGATTGCAGACTCCTAGGGTTCAAAATGTACTTTTTATTCTGCACATGCACGTTACTTGGCGCAGAACAGTTCTGTCCAATTGTAAAAGTACCTGGCATGATACAAATTAAAGTGAAGCATCTAACGTGAAATAGCACAAATCACGATAAAGAATTATAGGAGTTGTTAGGAGTATCTGTGCTACTTTTATTACTCATGTTCATATGTAAGTAACCTAAACTATTCCTTTTTGAAATGCATATAAGCCTTGTGCAGAATATCAAGGCAGTAATCACAAAGTGTTACAAAATCCAGGGGAATTTCAGAAGAACTTAGATTTACATATCACTCATTAAGAAACTACAGAAGAGCATGATAAGTGCAAAGATATCTTCTGTTTGTAACACACACCAAGCCACCTTCTGCAGTTAGGTAGTCTGAGTACTGACAGAAGTATTTTAGAGCACAGTTAGAATAAAACAGCTGGGAAAATTAAGAGGTTTAGAAATACACAGTACATGCTCAGGCCTATGATATGCATTAACTTTTGAAGATCTCAGACATAGTATATAGTTTTGGACAAATAACCAAGATAAAGAGAATTGAGAGAAAAATATTACTGGAAATACCCAGTGGCACTGAAATTAGCATTTAAATTGTCTATAAATTTACACTAAATTTCTGCAAGGCAGTAAAACTCAAGGCAAAGGAGGACAGCTAGGATTTGAGTGAGAAACAGGTGAGATATATGGCTGTATGCTATACTGCTGGGAATGTTCCTGTGATTCAGAGAAGGAAGTAGCAAGAGCTGACTCTTTTTTCTAACTGAAAATAAGGGAGAGAAAGAAGTTTTGACTTATGTTTGTTCCAGTGAGTTGCAAATGGTGGTTGTGCTCCACTGCCACAAGAGGAAGCACTGATTTGACTTTCTCACACATGGTTTTGTCCTGAATTTAAGTACATTCTGTTCAGAAGTGGTATGTGCTGTACTAATTTCTTGCTGCCTCTCAGGGCCCTGACACATCAGACTCTCCTGTGATGATAATATCCTCTCAGAGACTTCTGCTTTGCCACACTAGTCACAAAGGCCTGAAAGACAAACTGCTAGCTTTTCTGTGTCATACGGTAAGACGTCATGCAGACTGCTTCTGCATGAGAGTCACTGTGCTGAGCCACACTGCAATCTTGCAAGGCTGTCATGCTTCTCACAGGGTTACTTCATTAGTTAGAGGTTCTGGAATCCCTATTTGTCCCTATATGCTGATTTAAAGAACAACTTCAGTTATTAATGAAGTACTTCAGGGATTTTTTTTTATTTGGGATTCCTCTGTGAAAACAGGTTAGAGTGACACTCATTCCCTTGTCTTCCTTCCATGGCAGCTGCTTGAGTGGTCAGAATTCTCTTTTATGAGTCGCTGTTCAAAGCTCTTTAGGAGACTCTCCATTTGCTTTTATGTGGCTCATTCTGTCTTTGTTTCCGGCTGGGTCATTCAGTTTTCAAACAATTTGTGTGGAGTTAATTACTAAAGCTAGTCTAGAGATCATTCATTGTGATGCACATCTTCCATTCCAAACACACTCAGTTCATCAAATCCAAGTGGAGAACCAAGTAATCTCCTGGAGGCCCTAGGGCAGGTCCCTCATAAGTCTGGTCTATGGCATGGATGGCTGAGGACCCAAGATCAAAACATTTTTTTGTGAAAAAGAGATCAGAACCTGTCTGGGAGGACAGATGAACTTATGCTCTCCATGAGGAGCCAGAAACTGTGTGCTCTGTAACATAGCCAGGGCATGACTCAACTTGTTGAGATGCGGAAAATGACACTTGCCTAACTGTTCAGACTATAACTTGTAGGTGACAAGAATAAATTACTTGTGGATGTTTTCAGCTATGATCTTAGAGCCATAGAATGACAGTTCATGATTTATTATATGCAGACTGTTCTCTCTTGCAGACTGTTCTCTCTAGAGAGTAGAAGAGGAGATCTTCCCATTATCTATATGGAGAGTCCAGCCCATTGTCATGGCTTGGAATAAGGTTCTCAACCTTTATTTTTAACCATTAGGCTTTTCAGCCTTCTAACTGTGTTCTCTCTTGAGTGTCCAATAATCTTGATTAATGTCTTTCCATAACGTGCAGCTCCCGGCTAAATCCTTCCTTACAGTGTATATCACAAAGGAAAATAGCACAGAAGATTTGTCAGTCTAATTAGACTTTCACTGTCAGTAAGACAAATAAAATTGTCTCACCCTTGGTCTTGCCTAGGTACTTTCTTTTACACTCATAGATAATAATTTGGTAGGGAAAGAAATTGGCCTTTAATTTGGTTTTTGCTTCTTATAAGTCACTAGTGACATTTTCATCCCAA